ACACTGTGTCACAGCATCCAGTACAGATCTGGAGACAAACGCTACATGTTAGTTGGACCCAGGATGAGTATAGGATCTACTATAGTTCCTGGCAGTCATGCAAATACTCTAGTGCTCCCTGACAGGAGACGTACTTCTGAAGAGGTAAGGCACATTTAAATCAAGTTTTCCCCCTGCCCCCCCCACATAGCTACTATGTGTATAAATTTAGGTTGTGGCATGTGTGTTGCATTATTGATGCATTTTCTTTGACAATAATTGGGCCTGGACAAAGATGACATAGCCAGTGAAAGAGAAACATTTGCAAAGCTTTCGCTTTGATATAAACAGCAAAACAGACTGAAACTTTGTCTTTCTTCGAACACTCTATGTACTTTCAAGATTCCTCTGCTTTGCACACCTGAAGAAAATATATACACTGAAGTTACTTGCAGTCATTGTCCATCGTGCTGAGAATGTTTGCTCTGACTATCTTCAGATACAGGAGCCTATTATATAAGCTTTTATCGTTAGCTTTTATCCTTAAACTATGAATAATTGACAACACATAGTGTGAATTCTTATAAATTGGGAACATCCTGCAGCAGGAAAAATTTAAGTTATACTGCAGGTTATAATTTATGATTGGACGATGAACCTAAAACATAACTGATAATGGTCCCACCAACCGTCAGCATGTGAAGTCAGATGAAATCGCTATCCGAGGTGCTGAAAGGGTGGAAGCGTTTTATTACATTTCTGGCCCTCTTAAATTGTATTCACTTCGTGCATTTAAGCTACAGCAAGTCAATACGATTTGCAAATGTTATATAGAATCTAAAAACAATATGGTAGGTGTGTTTGCTCAAGTTGAATTTAAATAAAATTTTGAGTTCCTTTATATACGTCGAGGGAGATCGTCTCTTCACCTCTTTCCGACAACGCTGCTGCGATTGGTCAAACATTTGCAGTCAGCGACAAAACTGTTTACATTTCTCTGATTTGATGAAGCCTAATAAAAGTTTCTACAGCGAGACATTTGATCGCATGGTGTCAGTGTAATATCAGAAGTCAGCAGCACACACGGTTGTCGTCACTGCTCTGAGGTCCC